ATGAAGGCATAGAAGCTATGGACTGGCCCCGCCCATTTCCGAGACCTGCATCCGATTTCTCCCATCAGGGATATCATGTCTCGTTCTATGCAGCAATGTCATGTTGTACTGCAGAAGTACCCAGGAGTTAGTGGATGCTTGAGTCCAGGTCTGAGAGGAGATCCCCCTGGAGACCATCTGCCACCTCATCAGAAGCATGCCCAAGCATTGTAGGGAGATCGTACAGGCACATGTAGGCCACACACAATATTGAGTGTAATTTTGACCTGTTTTAAGGACATTACATCAACGTTGGATCAGCCTGTATTGTTTTTACACTTTAGTTTTATGTATGACTCCAAATCCAGTCTTCCATTGGTTAATTACTTTGATTTCCATTGATGATTTTTTTGTGATTTTGTTGTCAGCACATTCAACTTTGTGCAGAACAAAGTATTTAATGAGAATATTTCATTCGTTCAGACCTAGGATGTTATATAAGGGTTTCCTTTATTTATTTTTTTAAGTGTATATTGAGCATGCAGACATTTTATTATTATTGTTTTTATTTTTCTGATGAATTGCTTCTTTAAAGGTTGTACTTCATTCCAAATAAAAAAAGGCAGGAAACAATCACGTGTACAGTGCAAGAGGCTCCACTTGTTTTCTGCAAAGCTCTAAAGCCCCAATCGTGGTAATTATCACCCATTAATGCTTTGTGCTGAAAATGGCACCAGGGTTGAAAGTCTGATTTTTCTTTCTTGTTTGTTCAGATCGGCTTCTATCTCTGCTTTGCCTTGTGATGCTGTAATTAGCATAAAACCATTTCCTTGTTTGAAGAGCTTGGCAAATATATAGATTTCGTGTTTGTATATATAATGAGGAGGAGAAGATCACTGCCTGGTCTCCGGTATCAACTGTAGGTAGAGCCAAGTGGGAAAAAAATATGAAGACAAATGTTGAATTTACTGCATAAATGCTGTCTTTACAAGAAAAATGCCAAAAAGAACTTTTTGAATTAAGCATTTTGACCTGTCCTGCATGTTTCCATAGAAAAACACCAACTCAAAATTTGAAAATGAGTTAATTGACAATATTGGCCTTCTTTACCAACATTTGTCAGTAGCCTAAATGTTTCATTCTTCTTTTTCTTTATCTTCTAATCTCTGGATTCTATACATCCTTCACTCAAAAGTATCCAAAATTATTTACAGTTTCTAAGAGAAAATTGTTTTTTTAGGGTTGCCCTTTTCCCTGTCCCTGCATGTCATTCATTTTAGAGTTAAATTATCCAACTGAGAAATACCACATTTCTCAGTTGGATGCCAATACCTAATCAGTTCTCACTGTTCTTTTTTTCTTTTTTTTTTACAAAATGTAAACCATTTGAAACTAAAACTTTTCCACTTAAAACTTTTTTTTTTCAATGCAATTTCTGGATAATTACTGCTCTAAGTAGTTTGCTCTCTAATCTCAAGGCTGCTTTACAGTCTCTATAATACATTTAATGATTAATTGATTACTAAATTAGTTGACCATTATTTCAATATTTGATTAGTCACGATTAATCCAATTAGTTCTTTTAGCCCTAGTCTTATAGAAGACAAAATCCACATTATCCTAAATGACGAATAGTGATAAAATGATACATTGCATTTCTTTTTTTTTATGCTAGGATAATTTAAAAACAAATGGATATTTTTGCTTAGTCGTGTATAAACACAATCCACAACCAAGAGATAGATAGATAGATAGAGATAGATCGATCGATCGATCTCTATCTATCTATCTATCTATCTATCTATCTATCTATCTATCTATCTATCTATCTATCTATCTATCTATCTATCTATCTATCTATCTATCTATCTATCTATCTATCTATCTATCTATCTATCTATCTATCTATCTATCTATCTATCTATCTATCTATCTATACATCTATCTATACATCTATACATATATAACGCAATTATATGTTTGAAAATAATGAAGTGGTAATAATTGACTATTGCAGTAATGATTTGGGTTTCTATACATTTCTTCACCCCTGTGTTTTCTTTTCTGTGTGCTTTGAGCACTCCATGTGACCTTTAGCATTTTGTCCACTTTAATTTGTGTGGGCATCTACTGCGGTCAGACTCCAGATCAAAATATATGATGGTAAAACTGCATAGCAATAAAAACATGAAAAAAAAAATCTTTTTTTACCCTCCCTTTTCCTTTATCATTAGGTCACTACCAATCTCCATGACTTTTAGTAACTTGGTCACTTAAATTAATGTTACCTGTTTCACTTGGTGTATTTGAACTAAAGCTGGGCAATAAAACATAAACAATTTATTTTGGGATACACACAAATTCCATAGAAATTTCAATAGAAAAAAAAAGTGTGATAGAAAGATCAGCAAAATTCACCGAACTGTGATCCAGAACTGCACAATATTCTGGGGGATGTAGGCAAAGTACGTTTTTGTTCTTCCATGGCCAAGCTAAGATATACTGGAGGTTGGACTGACCTCTTTTTCAAAAGTCAAAGGTTAAATTTAAACTTACATTTTGCAAATGCAGAGAAACTGAATTTTAGTTACATTATATTTAACAAGTGTTAGGCACTGGCTTTTTCCCTCCAGCCCTTTAGGTGGCGGTAGGGTATTTGCCTCCACAGGCAAGAAAATATTGCAGCCTGCACAAAGATCCATGTATGCAAGTAGAGTAAGCACTTTTCCTAGCAACAGTAAAGTCTGGTGCCAATGGACCGTCGCGAGTAACCTTTCAAAGTCAGGAAAGTCATGAGTCCAATCGAGGAAAAACAAAGTATTTTGTGAATAATCATAATGACCTGCATCCAGCTTAACTCAGACACCAATTGCAACTCCACAAAGTGAAAAAGTAAAACAACTTGTTAAATATGAGCATGTCCTACAACAAGCAGATGAGTGCTGCAGTTCAGAATTTTTGCCAGAGGTGGCAGTATCATTAGAGAGCTCTATCATGCCTCTGTTAATTGGGTAACTGTTGAGATTTAAATTAATTATTTTTCTTCTGGTACTGATGAAATGTTTAAAAAGGAATGTTATCACAAGAGCACAAACACCGATCATTCTTATGTCTTAGCTGATGTAGTCTGGTGCAAGTATGGGCATTTTGAAGTTTCTATAGCAGTGTGTGAAGAAATACATCATCACCATGTTATTAGTAATGCAAAGCAGGCTCCAGTTTTTTCTTTTTTAAGCAAAACATCAAAAATTTTCTACTGCCACTAAAGCATTATCTAATCATTTTTATAATTGATGGGATATCTCTTTTTTGATAGTTATACATTAAGGGAGCTTTTGCAGAGTTTTCGCAGATGTTTGCCCCATCTAGTGAGCAGTTGAAAAGTCAACAGTAGTTTTCTCTGTGATAGAAGAGGAAAAAGCTCCACAGTCTGCCACTGGGATTGCATAGGGTTCTTTTTTTTTTTTTTTTGGGTGAACAAGAAGTTCTAGACGTTGATATTTTGACAGGAACATCTTACCCTATTAACAATAAGAGGGCCAACCACAGATCCATTAATTACCAAAGTAGAATTTACCCTCGTCTTATTCTGCCACTTTTAATTCCAGTTTTGCCCTTTTTTTGCATTTTACTTTCTTGTGTTGAGTCTGGGGTGGGGTTTGAGTTTCACATGTGGCTGATATCGACGTAGCCAGGAGAACAGGAGCCTCCAATGTTTCACATCAACACTCACCTCCAGAGAATTCAACCCAAACCTCTCTCTCATGAACTGATCTATGGAGCCTATCGAGGCAACTTTGGTGAAAAGAGGAAAAAATAATTTTAAAGGTGGGCAATCGTAGAGCATGTATGGCAAGGAAAAAAATCCTAGACAAAAGAAAATCCTTTAAACTTGTGCAATAGAGCTCATTTGTGTTTTTAAATATCTGCTACTTTTGGGACTAGAAATATCTCAACTTTTTACTGGAGATGAATTGTGATGTTTTTATAGTTGGAATAGTTAAAATTTGTAACATCTCTCAACTCTTTTTTGAATTTTTTTCTATTTTGCATTAACTTCTGCACGTGCTTTGTGTTTATCCATGCCTTTTTAAAATTTTAACTTTGGATTTTACTTGAAACTGTCTTATCTGATAATTTTTCCAGTGATATTCCTGGAAAAAATGCAGGTTGTACCATTCTGGCTAATTAAGGCTTAATACTAATATAGCATTTTTTATTTACAATGTTATTATGAAAAAATAAACAAAATGTTTCTTTGCATATGGAACAGAAAATGTAGGAGCTATCCTTTATGCCACTGCAGAGAAATATGTCAGGGAGGGGGACAAAATGTTGCCATCATCTATACAGGCATAGAAAACTCTCATCAGTTTCTTTTGCATCTGATTTAAATCAATTGAAGCAATATCTTGGATAAGTTTATTGAGTAGGAAGTTTTACATTTTTAAAACCTCTCTGTTTTACTGGTAACTGGTCAATTTTCTTCTTAATCATGACAAATTTTTTGACACAACCTAATTCTAACATCTATTTCTGGATCAATGATATTTTACATGACATATATGATCACATTGTGTCATGTAAGTTTCATAAAGAGTTTGAGGGAACCGATCCACACACCCATACCTCAGTGGAATATTTTAATCCTCAACCTGATTAGGTGTGCAGGGACAGGGGGGAGGGGTGCTGGTAACCTTAGGAACAAGAATTCAGCTCATATCTCCTTTAATTGTGACTGTGTGTCTCCCTCTCTAATTGTACCACTATATCAGTCCTTTAATACCAACCCAAACTGTATGGGTTCACACCAAGCTGAGGTCTGTTTGTTTGAGATCAAAGTCACAGAATGATGATGCTGCTTATGTGTTGTTTTCCTTCCTTTTAAATTTAGATATATGCTAATTTCATTGACACCAGGTGCTTCATTCTGACATTTTTAGTAGTTCTGTTTTGCCCGCTGTGAGAATACTTTTCCCTGCCCCAGTGGATTTCCTGACCTCCATCTCTGTCCCCCACAGTTGCATCGGGTGACCAACCTCGCTTCACTGGAGGCAGCCGTCCTGGGAGCACAGGCGTAATGAGGGAGAGGAGGACAGCTGGTGACCCCTACTGGTCCTATTCAGGTGAGCTCTCATTTCTGCTACCGCCACAGAGCCTGAAACGGAGAGAAAATAGCCCAACAACCCCTCTGACTCGTCTCTCATTTCCCGGTTTCTGTCCCCTGTTTAGTCAGCAACCTTTGCTCCTTTTTTTTTTGTTGAATGTAGAGAGGCTAATCTAGGTATTTTAGTATTCACATAATGTGTACCTGAGCTGTATGTTTTCTACACTCTTAATAACCATAATTAAACTAATGCATTGGGGAGAGAAACTGAGACATATGGCAAAGTGATTTAATGTTCCAAGTGTTAATGCTGGATTATTACGTTGTAGCCCACTGTGTTTAACCATGAATAATAAATCAACTGCTCTTAAAATGGATTTATTGCAAGTTAGATTTGGTATATAAACTGTATATACTGAAATGCTGCCAGTAAATATATCTGCCTGTACAGCTGTACTTGCATACACTGTGTAAAAGATACAGCATTTTATTTTTGTCAGATAAAAACTTTATGTCTGATGTATATACTAACATTTACAAATGCTTTCTATTTTCTAAACGCCAAATAATATAGGGACAGTTTTTAATATTTTTTTGTGTGCTTTAAAGTTTGACACGTGGAAACACTTTGTTTTAGAATATGGAAGATGAAAAGAATTGAATTTAGCAGAAAAAAGACATTTTGGAAAAGCAGTGAAATATAATATTAGAACCTTTCAAACCAAACACACTGACATTTTTGGGTCAAATGTTTATATATGTATGTTTGTAAGGAATGCCAGAAAAAAAAATGTCTTGGAACAGTTAGCTTAAATTTTTGCTTTTGTCCAAATAGAACTTCTCTTAATCAGGATTTACAGTAAGGCCATCCTGCTTTTATACACATTTTCTTCTCTGCTCACTAATGTTCTATAGGACTTCCACTAGGCCTTTATGTCATCCTTTACCGAAACCTCAAGTTTATGTCCTGAGGCCAGTTTGTGATAAGTCTATATGTATCCTGTCATTGTTTTCTTTTTTTTTTTTCCGTAGAAAAATCTTTTTGTGCTCTCCTTGTTGCAGCCTCAGTTTTGTGAAGCGCACCAGTCCCTCCTGCAGCAAAACACTTTCAATAGCAGGATGCAAGAATTCCTGCATGTCCAATTGTTTGTAATACAGTTTTCAGATAACATTACTATTAAAAACTGATAGCATTCAGTTACCATATTGCTGGATATATTAGCTAAAAATAATTCTGTTGGTAAATACATTAATCTTTGCTGCCTTCATTCTAGGTAAATTACCTCCTGCCTGTATTTACACATACCCTGTAAAAAAAATTCCAACGTTGTAATTGATGCATTTTTACACAAATGAATTGTATCACAATCATGCCAACATATTTTTATTAATTCATGCCTAGTGTTTATGATTAAGGATTCTGGATATTCTTGCTAAGGATTAACTAGATTTTTTGAGGATGTCTTTGCAGATTTTTTATTTTTTATTTCCCATGATGTCAGGTAGGGAATCCATGTGTTAGAGGTGCTTCATTAAAATAGATTCCTAGTAGGGATGCACGATATTGGGATTTTGGCCGATATCCGATATGCTGATATTTTAAAACTCATGTAGCCGATAACCGATATCGATACCGATGTTAAAGCTGGACAAAAATAAGTAGTCATTGAAAATAGCAGTTTTGTTATCCATTTCTGACACTTTGAAAAATTACATATTTAAATATATTTTCATATGCCGATATCAAATTGATTTTTAAAAACTCGGTATCGATCTATTTTACTTACAAAATCTCGTGAAATTTCATTGTTCTGTTACAAACTCTTGTGATATTTTGCAAATTCTTGTGAGATTTTGTTAGTAAAATAGATCGATACCAAGTCAATATATCAACATATAAAAATACGGCAAAATTTTGTGAATTTTCGGGGGATTTCGTAGCATAACAATGACATATAGCAATATTTCATAAGTAAAAGAGATTGATATGATGTTTTTAAATGGCAATATATCAGCATATGAAGATATTGTGATATTTTAATCTATCAATATTTTTTCCCTCGTCTTTAGAAGTTTTTAAGTCTGTAAAAAAGAAGTTTTTGAGTTTTTTTTTTTTTAGACTAGAAACTCAGAAGCTGATCAAATATCGGGTTGAATATCGGTGGGGTGGCCGATGTCCGATATTCAGTTTTAAGGCCGATACAGGCCGATACCGATAGGGGGCCGATTATATCGTGCATCTCTAATTCCTAGGTGAATGTTTTTTATTTAGATGTTATGACTTTACCTCGCAAAAACTCACAGAACCATATCATCATCCCTATCATCATCGGCCCTGGTTGATTTCTTTTTTCTTCCTCAGGTAAACAGAAATATTCGTGTACGCACACTTGGGCTGAAACAGTTTATCGGATTAATGGTGATTAACCAATTATTGAAATAGTTATCGATTAATCGTTATCTGTAGTATAGACTATAAAACATGCCTTTAGCTGACAGAGCTAAGATAATAATTAAACATATTGCATTTAAGATAAAAAAAAAAAATGTTTTTCGTCTGTCAATATGTTCAATCCACAACTCAAGTGGAAAAGTTTTAGTTTCACTCGGTTTAATTTAATCAAAAACCTTCTTTACAGAACCTTTGTCTATCTGATTATTAATCGAAAGATCAATTTGCAAAAGAATCATTAGTTGCAGCCCTTAAGCACACATCATTTGCATTTAGGAAACAAAAAAGGCTGTGTTTGTTTTTTTGTTTTAAAAAAACTAGTGTTTGTAAATAATCATGTAATTTAGTTTGAACCTGTTTTGTTCTCTCAGAACTAATCACAGCCACAAACATCCACAGCCATGCAAACACGGTCCATAGTCGACGATTGGGCTCAGCCGATGGGAAATCAGGGTTGTGTGCTCTGTTGAGGGCCCCTCTCTGAAACAGAGGTGGGGGGTGGGGGGCACTTGTATTTACAGATCCAAAAACACCACCTTGCAAATATTGCACTCAGTCCCACTGCCACTGGAGTGAATCGAAGCTCTGAAAACTATTACACTGATGGAATATTTTGTCTTTGGTGTTGTGGTTGTAAGTAATAAAAAAAAAAGAGAAAATCATGGTTTCAGGCGAGCAAATTGTGCCGTTCACAGTCATGAAACAAGGTGTGCTCAGTTTGGATTCACATTTGTTTGGTATTCACGTCACTCCTAACAGCGGCCTTTGGCTGCCTCGGTTGTCTGGTAGAGGCAGGAAAAAACTGTCTGCTTTGACTATCCAACCATGACAGCTCCCTCACAATGTACAAGGTATGTGGACCCTACATTAAGATTCTTAATCATTTCACTACGCTGTCGTTTTCCTAAACGCTTTTATGCACAGGGTTTCTGTGCTGATGGATGAGTTCTATTTTTATATTGTTGTGTGTCGTATCACCGAGAGAGATTTCACTAATTTTGATTAAGGGTGCAATTTTAACGATTCAACACGATGGTTGTAGATGTGTCTGGGCTTTGGCAAGTAGCTGTGGTTAAAATGAAATGGCAGCTGGCAAAGATAAAATCACCCAGATAATTAGATGAGGTAGTGTGGCACCAAAAACTTGAGAATACTTTTTATTTGATCCATTTTTCCCAGACACACACACGCACACACACCTATTTATAAAAGACAGATCAACCACGCAGACAAGCTAAAGTAAATGGGGCCTCCTTAACATCGCAGCAGTCACACCTGGTTGGGTCCATCCTACAATGATGCAGTTATTTTGCAAAAGGAGCCCAGCCAGCAATTTAGTGTACAGTTTATAGACATATTTTCCAGGCAGCCGACATTACTCAGTTTTATTTATGTTTTTTTTTTTCGTAGAACATGTTTGGAGGAGCTAAATTTGGGGGTTTTATTAGTTATTAGCCTTCTTTTGTGTACTGAATCAGCAGACTGTGAGTTAGATTCTTTTACTCTGTATTGTGACATTTTGTTAGGATACCACACTTCTTCCTTCCACTTAACTTTTACATTACGTCTCAGCTGTGAACAGCCGGCTTCTCTAGCAATGACCTTGTGTGACTTCCCCTCTTTGTGGGAAGCACTGATGCATGTCTTCTGAACAACTATAAAGACAACAGTCCAAATGATTGCATAGGTCATAACGTGGCCATCAAATTACATCACTCTATTAAAAAGCTATTTTATTGCTGTAAGGTTCTAATTTGCTGACACAGTAAACATTGGATTTTAATAACAAAGTTATGATTTTTAATTTAGTGGCTCTACCTGCAATAACTTTATATGATGAATTTAATTATTGAGAAACAATTTATTTCTTTAATTGATGTTCCAATAAATTAGGATGCACCGATTTTTTTATATATTTGTAATGAATAATTATAGTTTATTTGTGTGTAGTTGTGGCTTTAGACCGGTTTAATATTTACCCTTTGTTATACTTTGCACTTGTACTTGCCTTGTGCCAAGAAGCCTGCATGCTTAACAAAAAAGGAGCTGGAAGTGTAAGGAAAACAGAACCCTTTTGTTTAGAAAAAAAAGGTCTTGAAACCAACATAAAAAAAAAAAGAAAACTGTATCTTTAGTTGAATTTTGGACATGCATTTCATGTCTGCGCTGACCACTAAGTCCCACTTGCGAAGGCAGCTGGCTGATTGTGCTCAGGAAAAAAAAAGGGAAGCATTGAGGGAACACAGAACTGTCCATTACTTTGGGAATGTAATTAGCGGCTAAGGCTGTGAATGGGAGACAGACAAGCGTGCCTTAGCAGCTAAATGGTTATTAAGGGCATTTGCTCTGTGCAAGTGAGTGTAACAGAAATGCACGCAGCAGGCGTGAGCCTCAAGCTAGAACGTACTTGTGCAGGACAGGCTTCAACCCTTAAGAGCCAGGCAGACATAACATCTAAGAGAGCAAGCTTCTCTTTTCTACTCATTGTGTAGCCCACCAGCATCAACTGCTGCAGGGTAGAGCCGTGTAAAGAATATGGAGCAACATGAGCTCCAGAGAGTAACAAT